ATTACCAATGTTGAACAAAGAAGATAAAAACATTTTAAATACCCCAATTACAGTCAGTGAAATTGAAAATGTAATTAAAAGTTTACCAATAAAATTTAAAATTTACACCATCTTTTGTCACATCTTGTTCATGAAATTTTTTCAAGGTAGAGAAAACTGATAGCAAAGGCATGAAACACTACCTTCTCATTAACTTATGTATGACTTTGCCTCCTATTTCTCCAGATTACATACAGCAACTAAATTCATTTCCAAAGCATTGAAAAGGGATTTCATATTTCATGTTTTGCTTCAAGATGAATGACATTGAACAACTTACCTGAATACTGAAGGTTGAATATCAGCAGAAGCAGACAGACTTGTTAGTCATTGGAGCACTGGGAAAGCAAGATCTTCCCAGGAAGAAGGTGATGAGTGGTTGCAGACTGGAGCAGGGAAGATCTGTGATATTTTAGCTGGCCAACTTCCTCTATCACTATCCTTTCATATTCAATATCAAAAGGGCCTCATTAGGTCAGATATTTCATTCTACTTCTGATGCTGGGAGCACATATCCTTAAAGACCAAGATTCTAAGAGGTGAGGAGGTCAGAATGGTTGATTTTCTGACCCTAGAGACTGGGTGTGTCCAGTAACTTCTCCCTGTTATTTCTGCTCATCTCTATTTCAGGGACTTTACAGGCAAAATACACATCACTTCTCTAAGAAATTTTAGTGTTGCTTTTTAGTTATAAATTAACAGTTCCTTATTTATTTCATGATATTTGAAAGCCAGATTCCTATTTTGGATGTGAAAATGTGTGGGTATAATGCAATTATAATGAAAGCAAAATATTAGAAAAATACAACACACTGTGGTCTCTGCTAATGCATCATGGATGTTTTGCCTTGATATTTGTTCTTTAAAATTGGCAGAACAGATTTTAATATTCTTTTTGTGATTACTGCAGGTGATAAAATATATAAAGAAGACCCTCTTACATCTTGGTAATAACCTATTTTACTTTTCTCAATATACTTTTTTCCACATGAGGAGAGTGGGAGTTGAATGTGTTTCTCAGCATACGTGGTCAGATTTAAATCATTATTTCTTCAGTTGGAATCCTACTCTGGCTTACTGCTTCTTCTGATATCCTTTCTATTTAAGGTCTTCAACATTTGTGTATGCTTATCAAATTATTTTAGGATATGTTTACTATCTGCCTGAATTTCAGTTAATCAAGGAATATTATCTCAAGTTTCCCCTCCACTAGACCTCCACTCTAGATATAAAAATATCTACAAAGTTGGACCTTTTTTTACATCACTTTTTAAATCTATGTTTATCATTTTCCTCTAATCAAGTCCCTCTTTGTTCTTCCCTAATCATTTACCTTCTAGCCTACCAAATGTGATATAGCATAATTTTTCTGGGTTATTTAAGAAAGGATGAAATAATTAAAACAAGCCAAAATTACATGATCGATATATAGATGGCTCTGTAGATGCTGGTGTGATAAGTAGTGATTCTCTCCTCACAATTAAGGAGGTGAGTGATTCTATTATACTGTGTATGTTGAAGATGTGTATAAATACAAATAATGTAACAGAAAAATATGTGCTAACTAATGAAATATTTATATTAGCAACAGAGCTTTTCTATTCTAATTGATCCACAACCATTAATACAGTAAAAAATAAATGAGAATACAAGGAAACAACATCCTCCAAAGTTCTTAGCTTCCCAAAAGCTGATCTCATGAGCACTGACGTGGATGGAATATAAAACAAACTGCTTAAAATATTTGACAAGATATAAGAATAATCAAATGAAATGACCCATAAGATATTCAAAGCTCAAAGATGATTTCACCAAACAGATGAAGAATTTTACTTATAAAATGATCGCTGAGATTGAGTTAGACACAAAAGTTTGGGTGAAGGAAATAAGATGATAAACATATGTATGATAATTTTGTTAAATAGTTAGAGAACATGGAAGATATCAAACAAAATCCCAACATACAATGAGGTCCTGAAATTCTGGACAGCAAAAATGATCAGCTTCAGGACAGAGTGTCAGAACTAGAGGATAAGTTAATAGAGTAGATAAAAAAGAAAAATGAGTTTTTTTAAAGCTAACCATAAAAACTCTCTAAGACCTCTCTGTGACTTCAAGGGCTTTTAAAGGCACATCTAAATATAAACAATGACAGTCATCCTGAATAACTCTTCTTTAAAACTACACAAATGAAACAAATAAGCAATTCTCAGAATAAGAAGTATAAATGCTTGATACATGACCAGATGTTTAATATCTTCAGTCATAAAAATGAGTTGACACATATCTTCAGTAAGAATGACTATCATTAAATAATAAAAAACAAATAAATATTAAGGAAATTATGGGTAGAAAAATTTATCCTTATACATTACTCAGGGAGATTTAATGTTGTACAACCACTATGGAAATCAGTTTCAGGATTCATTAGAAAACTAACAATAGAAATTTTGTTAGACGCACCTTTATTTCTTCTGGATATCTTTCAGAAAGAGTTAAAGTAATTATATTTAGGCAATGATAGCTTTTTTAAAAATGTAGTTACTATGTCAATGAAAATAGAATATTCTGTACAAAATATAGAAAAAATATGAAAGTTCAAGAAATAGTAATACACTTATGAGTGAAGTTTACTGAGTGTCTACTAAAACATCCTAAATATATTTATAATAATATTTATCGTTCTATCTATCTCTCTCTCTATATATATATATAAGCTACATTTTTCATATGTAAAATTCAAGTAGACTTCTTGATATGATGTAATAGATATAGCCAAAATGGAAGACATGAATGTATTTGAGAAGTTCAATCTCTTATGTGTTCGTGATATGTGTAGTGAAAGTGAGAAGAAGCAATCAAGAGAAATAAATGGTTTACAACTGTCTCAGAGGTCAGGAAAGCATGCACCCTGATTTCCTCCCTCTGTAGAGTTGGTATTTAAGGACATGCACTCCTGGGTCAGAATGGTAATAACACTTCCTGTGTAATGAGCTACCTGGTGTACAGAGACTGTAGGAGTCAGCCAGTGAAAACCTCACTCAAAAGCTCTGCCAAGTCAGGAAGCAACAGCTGCTAGTCCTCGCAGAGATGATCCTTCTTGATAAAAAACCCACTGGCTCTGGAGATGCCTCTACCCTTTCTGAGAACAGATTATCTGTCTTCCACATCCAGGTGAGTTTCTGAACATCATTCTCAGTGGAGCATCCATGCAACCCAAAGTTCCTTAGTTAATCATGTGACCAGGAAAATAGACACTTTGCTACAATTTCACCCAGCAGGACCTATGGGAACTATACATGTATAAGATGAAGAGAAAAGGTCCCTGTAAGCCTGACTTCATTTATATTTTCACCAATATTCATCCAGCTCTTTCTAGACACCTGCTGTTTCTTCAAAGCAGGAAAGACAGTTTTATTTGGGAACATAAATATAAATCTGTGGCTACTCAGAAAATATGACTCATAAAATATTCTGTCATTTACTTAATTGTTTTGGTGGTCATGGGGAGAATTTGCCTCAGTGTCTAGGTTTTCTACAGGTGTTATAACAATGCACACATAATGGGTTAAATAATAAATGAAGTTCACTTTTTCACAGTTTTGGAGGCTAGAAAAAGAAAGATCAGGATATGGGGTCCTCCTGAGTTTTCTCTCCTCAGTTCGTCTCATGTCAGTATCTTCCCATGGTCTTACTCTTTGTGTCTAATTTCCTTGTAAGGATCCCTGTCATACTAGATTAAGGTTCAACCTAAAGACTTCTTTATAAGTGAGTTACGTTGTCAGATGATCTTTTCAAAATGCAGTCACAGTCTGAAAATTTGGGAGCCTACATTTCACACCATAAATTTTGAAATGGTTGAATATAACCTATAAAATCAGTTTTTTATATCCTCTTCAATTTATTCAGTGAGGACTATTTAGAAAGATTTTCCTAGCCTCTGGGATAAAGGGGCTGTGAAAATTCTGAGGAAGTCTCACCCTGCAGCTCCTCAATCCTTATGTCCCATCCTGATATATGCCCATACCTAAAAATCAAGGAGGAAACTGTGCCTATACTCAGGATGAAACCTTTATAATTGTATATGGAAGCAATGAAACCCTCTGGATCATTTACAAATGTTAATTCTACCCTATTCAGAAGAAAGAGCAGAGCATTTTCAAGGTACTAAAATCAGTGGTCATACCATCAGATCTTTCAGTCTTTTCCAAACATGGACAGTGTGGTTTGTGTCCATGATGTTTCCCTGTAATAACATGGGGCCAATAGCTGACTTGTCACACTCATAGCTTGATAAGGCTTAAATGTGACTGGAAATATACAAGCACTGGAGACCATTGCTCTAGAAATAAATTAGATGAGTTCATGTTTACTTTGCTTTTTGTACTGTGGCATGGAATATGTCTGAAGGAATACTTGTGTCTTATTTTCTGTTACAGTGTCAATTTTTGTTACTGAAGTGCAAAACAGAGTTGTTGTTAAATAAAGACAATAGAAATTAGAGTTGATTTGAGACAAGACATGAGCAGGGAGAATGTCAATGAAGATTTGAGTATCTATGTGTCTAATATAAATGAAAAATATTTCCTAAAGCAATGATTTTCAAGATTTAGAGATATTCAATTCTTTGCGAATTATAACACATGGCTTCCTGGTTCTCGTCATCAGGGAATTAAAATGTAATTAGTATAAAAAAATTTTATGACTACTATACTTCCAGAAGACCTATCTGTTCCTTGTATATAAACTATTTTCACTGTATTATTTCCAATAGATCCATGGAGAACACGGAACCCATAAGCCAAACAGCTATCTCAGAATTCCTTCTGCTGGGATTGACAGATGATCCAGAGGTGCAGTCCTTCATTTTCCACCTGTTCCTGTTGATGTACCTGACCAACATCCTGGAAAACCTGCTCATCATCCTCACTGTCACCTCTGACTCCCACCTCCACACTCCCATGTACTTCTTCCTCTCCAACTTGTCCTTCACTGACATCTGTATAAGTTCCACCACAATCCCTAAGATGCTGGTGAACATCCAAACAAAAAGTCAGAGTATCTCTTACACAAGCTGCTTCACTCATATTACTCTTGTTGTAATTTTTGTAAACCTGGAAAATTTCCTCCTTGCAGTGATGGCCTATGACCGCTATGTGGCCATTTGTCATCCACTGAGGTACATGGACATCATGAGTCCCCGCCTCTTTGCCCTGCTTGTTCTGCTTTCCTTGTTGGTTAGCATTGGGGATGGCCAGATCCATACTCTGAGGGCACTGCAGCTGTCCTTCTGCACAGACCTGGAAATCCCGCACTTTTTCTGTGAACTTGCTCAGGTCATCAAGATCGCCTGTTCTGATACTGTCATTGATAACATCCTGATCTATGTTTCAATTTGCATAGTTGGTGGTATTACTCTTGGTGGAATCATTTTCTCTTATATCCGCATTGTGTCCTCTGTTTCAGGAATGCCATCAAGGGGCAAAGTATAAAGCCTTTTCCACATGTGGGTCTCACCTGTCTGTTGTGTCCTGTTCTATGGGACAGGATGTTGGGTGTACATCAATGCTGCAGTTAATGATTCAAGCAGGAAGAATGCAGTGGCTACAGTGATGTATTCTGTAGTTCCTAAAATGCTGAACCCCTTTATCTACAGCCTGAGGAACAGAGAAATAAAGGTATCCCTGTGAAAACTCATTGGTAGAATGCTTTCTTTTCTGTGTTGTTTCATAGGCTTTAGACCTACAGGGGTAAAGTGTTTCTCAATGACGGAATTCTTCATGAAATAGAAGGCATAACTCTCTCACTGTCACATTCCAAAATGACCAGATTACATAAAAAATAAGTTTATTTTATTTTCGGTTTGTTGCCTGACTGCTTTTGTCTCTAGATCTGTGATGAAGAAAAATAGTTTTAAGGAAAAAAATCATTTTATGCAATCATGTGTTATTTCATAACTTCTGTATTATGGCATGTGGTTGAAATAAATGGGAGTGAGTTTCGATGGGGGTGAGGTTAGAATGGGTGTGAAATAACAATGTCATCTTGTCTTACATGGATATCAAATAATATACTAAAGGTTCAATAAATGTAAAAATAAATTTATGCTGAAGAGTTAATAAGAAGTTTAAATATCTTGATATTTCATTAAAAGATTGTAAAGATACAAGATCCCAATGATGAATGCAACTGTACTCTATACCTAAAATGTACCAATAAACTCAATAATACAAATATTATATTAATTGAAGATAAAGATTCAATTTAAATACTAAGGTATATTGCAGTCCTCACATTTTAAATGTAGCTGATGTTTAATTACATCAAGTGAAGTCATGGTAAGCCAGAATGCCACTATTCGTAAAGGCCTTTTAGTTTATCATTATTCTATAAGAAAATCAGGAGTCAAAATTCATCCCATTATTCCCTCATGTACATTAACATATAATCAGTACTATTTAAGTGAATTTGAAGAAAATGGTTGTAAAACTAGAAAACATTAACCTGTATATCTTTCTGTATTACAGCATTGAGTAAAGATCTTAAATGCAATCTGTTGAACTAAATATACAGAATGAATAGTAAGGCTCAGGAAACACTAGATGACTTTACAAAATTCATATGAGTGTTTGTGTTTTACATGATTTGTACAAGTATATTTTGTATACCTGTATATTAAAACTAATCTGAGTCAGGTTTTGGAAATATCATTAATTGTATCTGTATAATAAATTTGGAATTGAGATACAGAAGAGTAGCACCCTCACATGTGTATGGTGTATGAACGGTATATAAAAATAAACTATTGACAAGAATTGGGTGAGTAAATAGTTTTTGCTGTTACTGGATTTGATAATCCTGAATTTTATTTGTGTAGAGCCTTAGTCTTTAAACATTATAGTGCACAGGGTTCTTGATTAAAACATAGTGTTTTTTTTTAATGAGGAGCTTTGCATATTCAGTCTCCAGGGATATAGGAAGTGCTAAGATGCTGTATGTGACTGCCTCACTTTGCAGTCCTCCCCAGCTGTGAAGCCACACCTGAGGATCCTCTCAGAGTTTACCTCTTTGGACAAGGGAATGCTGTCTGTGTCTGCCAACAGGCCTTCCTGAGAATACATCCTCTGCATAACCAACATCTAGGGAAGATGACAAGCTACTTTCCACACTTGCACCAGTCAGGTAACCCAAATCCATTTGGATATATTTTAGAAATAAGGTAGAAATGTACTGCAGTTTTTTCCAAGTAAAGTCATGAGCAAAATACATGCAGATGACCATTATCAAGTTGCCTCCATGGTTCTTGTCTTTCCTCACTGCTAGATGTTATTTTGCATCTTTGTAAAATTACTCAATGCAGGTCTCATTCTGTCAGACTTCTCCTCTATTTATTTATTGGAAGCAACCTTCAGAATAAATTATCTTCACACAAGATGAATATAATTAAATTTTCAGTCATTTTCTTCCACCTTCATTGTGATCAAGAGGAGTCAAAAAGCTTGTTGGCCCCTTTTAACTTATCTGGCTGTGACCTGTCCACCCAGCAAGATTGGATGCCATCTATTTTTTTTTCTCATTGAGTTTATTGGTATTTTGTAAATATACAGTACAGTTACATTCATCATTGGGATCTTGTACCTTTACATGACAGTTCTTTGTTTGTATTTTTCCCCATACCCCTGCCTTCTCTTCACCCCCTCCTCCCTTCCCTATTTACAAAATCTTTGTTTCCATTTTTCTTGTTTTCTTATAGTTTTTATTTTCCCTTATTTCCTTTCACCTACAAATGCCATCTACTTTTAGTGGTAATGAGGCTCCAAGGAAAAGAAGTGTAGACCCAGGGCATACTCAGCAGGTACATGCTGCGCCAGCAATATTTCTGCTGTAAAATTGCAGAATATTTAAAATTGTAACATCAGAATAAATATTGTAATAATAATTTTAAAATGTCATTATTCAGGCTTTAAAAATTAACAAATATTGATGTTCTATATTATCATTTTTAATTTTTACCTATATTTAATGGACCTATTTATATTACTCTGCACTTCTTTTCTCAAAAGCAAGACCAGTGTCTTTTTACCATTCATCCCCATTTTCATACTTTATATTTACCAATCTGTATATAAGATGGATCCAAAATATAGGGAATGCTTTTAAAGTACAAAATATTAAGGGAAAAGGTGCATTTACATTAATCTCCATCAAAATGCTCACCTGCACTTTAAACATACTTATAACATCAATCATGCCACTTCTGAAGCCATTCTGAAGGTCTTTTTCAATGAATGCCTTTACATTCATTTACACTGTCAGGATGGCCTTAACATGCTGAATAATTTCAAAATGATTACCTTTCATAATAATTTTGACTTTGGGGAAGAGGCAGAATTTGCATGGTGTCATATCTAATGAATAATTGTTGAGGATACAGTGTCATGTTTTCACAGCCTGCGTTTTCATTGGATGGCATTCAGTAGCAGCATTGAACTTATTATTTTTCAGTAGCAAAAGCTTTAAAGCTACGCACAAAACAGGGCTTCCAGAAGCGCTTCAACAAGGGATAAAATGGTGACACAACTCTGTTAGAAGTTAGAGGTATCATTTTGAGGGAGGTTAATATAATAAGGTGAATTTTAATGTATTGTTTTACAAAATAGAACAATATATTTTCATTAAATTATTGTTACATTGTAAGAATGCAGTATGGACATTAAAGAAAGGAAAGGAATAAATATGATAAAATGAAAAATGGAAACAAAGTTTTTATAAAAAGAGTGGGGAGGAGGATTTGATGGGAGGGCAAGGGTATGGAGAATAAATAAGAACCAAGATATATTGTATAAAGGTAATCCTAAGGATGAGTGTCAGCATATTACAAACATTGTACATTTTAATCACATAACCTATGTCAGACAAATGGTAACAAAATCTCATTAGTCAGATAGGAAATAAAGACAGAAGTTGTGATGTAACAATATAATAAAAATCTCTGCCAGTTAAAATTGATACAGCTGAACTGAAATCATCAACAAAAATTAGAAATAGGAATATGATCAAGTAACCATGCTTGGGAAATGGGGAAAGAGATATGTGAGGTGACTTAAGATGTTTCATGTACGTGTAACAACTCTTCACAATAATTGTAATCATTGTAGATCACAAACATGAACTAACATAATAAATTGATTATAATATAATAATAATAATAATAATATGGGAAGAGGATCTAGAGATAGAGGGAAAAAGGGCAAGAGTAGTGGAGAAGCAGGGCTGGGGATTTAGCTCAGTGGTTCTGCCTCCTGCCTTGCAAGCACAAGGACCCGAGTTCAATCCCCAGTACCAAAAAAAAAAAAAAAAAAAAAGAGTAGTGGAGAAGCAAGAGGGAATAGAAACATTCAAGATATATTAAAATAGTTACTCATTAACATGAGTGTAGACATCATGTACAGCATGAAAATATTGATAACAAAAACTACAAAATATTAAAAATATATTATGTAAGAATGTAAATAGCAAAATTACAGTGAATTGTAATGTTCTCAATATAGAGATTTTAACATTATAAAGTGATAAAATTTCTGCTTAAAGAATAATAGGAAAAAAACAACAGTCAACATCATACTAAGTGGTTGAGAGCATTGATTCTTCATTGGAATTTGCATTTAATCTTGTCCTTTGTAGAAAGAAATATAAATAAAGATTCTTCAGCAGTCAGGGTCTAACCTGGTCCCTGCCCCATAGTTCAACAAATGGGTCTGCCTGCCTGAGCACCATCGGCGACGGTGGCTGAATACAAGAGCAATGGCCAGAACCACAGGCTGGCACAGAAAAGAAATACCAATGTTTTCAGTTCAGAAAGGTGGCAGAGTTCTGAGCAGCAGAGAAAAGGCCCCTCTGAGCCTTGTGGCTGAGAACTGAAGCCCACTGGAAGAGTGAAGACAGCCACTGTAATAAAGATGCAGCCAACTACAATGGCTGATGAGTGGTTGAGATCAACACCTGCTAATGGAACCCAGCCTTGCTCTGGGAGAGGGGCCAGCTCAAACTTGCAGCAGAACCCCACAGGGATCAAACCCACAGGAGTTCAGAGAGCTCAATTCTGGCCTCTCAAATAGAAACCAGCCTGAAACTCAGGGAACTACAGCTGGCTCACTGGGAATAACACTCAGACTAGAAGACAGTTGCCAAGAATATCAACTGAGGACAGCAGAGACACACCTTGGAGAAGACTATTTTTTCTTTTCTTTTTTCTTTCTTTGTCTTTTTTCTGTTTTCTTCCTCTTCTTTAATTCTTTCTTTTTCCATCATGTTTTGTTTTTTCTTGATCTTATTTTTATAACAGCATGAATACAATTTCCAATTCTCCTGTTACCATTAGTTTCTTCTAAGCCTGATTTTATTCTTCCTTGTTTCTCTTCCTCCTGTCTTCACCAGTTCCTCAAAATTTACATAATCTTTCTGTGTCATCTCACTCTACTTCTAACCTTTT